TATATAGCAGTTCTATCCATTTTGGTTGGTTGAATATCATAATTATTGTTGGTTGAATATCATAATTAATGTGGATACACAATCAACAATAATTATGATATCCATTGGTTGGTTGAATATCCTAATTATTGTTGATTGTGTATCCACATTAATGCTTATGGGCGCTCAGTAGATAATAAGAAATAAATGTATGGTAACATTGTGACGTCACACTCTTCCGATGAGAGGCGTTGGTAACTGATGACTGTTGATTTAACTACAGTATTAAAACAGATGCTGAAGTATAAACAGACTTCTATTGAGACGGACGCATTCGCATCCAGCTCATCCTTCACTCACACAGGACGACTGATTGTAGGTCTGGACTTACAGGCTGCCGAGTTAGGCCTACCTTGCTCAAATTTCTAAATAAGATGGCTTATTTCTCGATTAATATCACTGCATTGATTACTTTTCTTGCCACGGTGGCGGTTTTGTCAAGTTTTAGTGAGTAAATTATTGATTTATTTTAAGCAAACAGATGGACGGTCAAATCATTTTTTTTCCGATCGATATATTTGTTTGCACGTTGTTGTATAGATACGAATTTAAGAAGCACAATTGCTTTTTTTTTGTACAAATTGTAGATAATTTTTCCATTTCATCTGTGTACAATTAGGCCAATTCTATGGCTTAAAAATACTTATTTAACTAATGCCAATACCTGCCTTAATATAATTTACTCTTTGTATTTCTTTTTAAGCGCTATTTACATAGCGCTTTTTCATTACTACAAAACTATACAAAACACATATCACTTTGACATTTACAAACCAAAACAAATAACTGTAATAACCAATAACCGTAAGCCTATAACTTTCAAATGTTACTGTTAAATATTCATCAGAGAGATTTTAAGTAAAAGATTTCACTCTCATCAAATACCACAAAAACATCTGAAACCCTGGATCACTATTCTTTGTTCGGTTTTTTTTTTTTTTTTTTTTTTTTTTTTTTTTTTTTTTGTCAGTAGACAAATAGCTATGGTCTGCAAACTTACTTGTAAGAATAAATCTGGTGGCGGTGCATGATGGGATATTACGTCTTAAGCTAAAGATAAATTGTGCAGTTTCCAAAATAAGCTTGCCTACGAAATATGCCTAGATAGGCCTGTCCTAGAAAGGACTTTAAAGTCAACAATTTGTGACTTGTACAGATATTCAAGTGAATTGCCAACACAGAAAGCGCGGATGAGTTAGAAGTAGCCAAAAAAATAAACATGGGTTACTGATAGAGTGCTGGGTCCTCAGTATTACCACAGACCCTTTATTATTACTATTATATTATTAAACTTTTGACAGACACGAAATAAATTTTGTGTCTGATAAGTCACAGCCACATTTTACAAAAATGGAACATCCTTATACATTGCCTTCCATCGGGTTCTGTTTTTAGCAATTTCTTTAAGTTTATAAAAATCAACAATGTTATCGAAGTTAAGCCCTCTTTCTTTTATATCAGATTTAATTTTTGAGAAAAAAGTGACACTCTTCCTTTTCGGCCTTTCAATATTACTGATTGAGTTACGGCAAATAGGCTACAAGTACACCATGTGCAGGAGTGAGTTCATCACTCCGTAAAATGTGTCCAAGCACTGACCACATACATATTTGTCAATACTATTTGTTAATGAATCTGAACTGAATATAAAGATTTATTCTCAATTATTTTTGGGTATTTAATATTGAAATAGCCTTCAAATGTCGACGATGACATATAGGCCTATCAACTTTCTCAAACATGTTTTTAGGGGCTGCCCAAATGCTACAGTTTTATAAAAGTTTTGACACACCTGTGCTTCATAAATATGAAGTTTACGTTCTATATAATACTACAATCACAGACCATACTTTTGTAAATTTTGCAAAAAGCAATATTTGCGAGAATGATTTTGTTTTCAAATCTTTAGAGCTATCAATTAGAGAACTAAGGATTTTATGATCTTTCCAATAATTATGATTTGGTTTGTCAAATTGAACAAACTCAGTCTTTGCTTGAAATATTTTGTATCCTATAGGCCTAATATCTAACATATTTTTTAACGATTCCACATCAAGACCAATAAAATTTACATCATCGGCATATGAACACGGGTATTCCAGTATTAGAAATAGGCCTAAGTGGATGATCATTAGATCAGGATAATTTAACTTCACAGACCGACCAAGGCATTATACCTGCTTGGCCTACGGCCTGTCAGCTAATATGCATTCGACTAACCAATGTTTATAATATATTAACATACAATAATGAACTGTCACCATTATATCTGTAATACGCATGTTAATTAATCGATTAATATCTGTGTTTACTGTAGGTCTCGTGATTATTGAGTAAATAAAATGTTACATTACACAATGCAGGAACATTGCATTTGAAATACAAAACCGTGTATAATTAGATGATTTACAACAATAAAAACGAGTCGTATCGAGCACTGAACTGATCTAGTAAACAAAATGCGCTGGAATATGACTATTAGTTTTCATCATATTCTTGTAGTTCGATATATGACGAGTCGTCGCTTAATTCTCAAAATATTTTTGCTTTTAGCTATAATATAGCACAATCGGTTATTGTTGGCGGTGGTGTTCCTACTTGAATATACTTATTTCACTTCGTCATACTTAATTTTAATGTTGTACTTTGCTGATTTTATTTGTTTTTATTTATTTACTTATTTGTCACCTGTTACCGGAATCCATTGAAAATATGTCAAAGGACTTTATGGGCGTTCCGGGTATCATTTTTCTTTTTATCTTGTTGACTTTTTTCTGTTGTTAATTTTAATATTTGTATGATGCATAGTCAGTACTTTTTTTACTCTTTTTATGAACATTTTATCGATTTTATGGAGTTTATTATGTATATATTATGCCAAATAAAATAAAATAAAATACTTTTTACATTATTGTCTTTATTATGGGGAATAAATGTGATGACTTCACCAAAAGGATAACAGATCAAAGAATTTGAACTGACAGTTGAAAGTCTTTGAACAGACAACACAAGATTTGAGTGATATAAATAGCCTTACTCTATTCTACCTAATACGATTAACAAGTAGCGTCACTTTTATGGAGTATTTTCCTTTAATTTTTCAGTCCCTTTAAGCCTGGTTTCGCTACACTGTCGCTACAGTTTTTTTCTGTGCATCGTTGTATTGCGTAGCAGTCCCTCAACGCAATCGGGAAGGCGCCCCGATTCGACCGACCAATCAGCATCACCGAAAGCTGTCGGCGATAGCATGTAGCGATTGTATGGAAATCAGGCTTTAGAGAGTGTTTTACAATCTTTACCATCTTAATGTAGGCTATCGATTAGCAGGATCCGGATCCTGCTAACCGTTAGCTGTCGTGCGTCCATACGAGAAAATCCCGATCCGGATACCAAGAATATGATGATCGAATCACTGGTCAATAAGAAACTGGAAATTGTAAACGCGTACGTGTGATTGGTTGATGATAGAAACGCGCTCACTTGCTAACCGATAGCGCAATTGCTAACCGTTAACGGTATCCGGATACCGCTAACGGTTATCGCCAACGGTTAGCTCCCGAGAACCAGGCTGTAAAAAACACACCACCGAGTGTGTTCAAACTAACTCATGCAATATTCATTATTATACAGAAACCAGCTGACTGCTTCATAAATATTTAATCTAAATGCGCACTGTTATAATAATCTGCAAACGTTCAACTGTATCACGAGTATCAAATTTCTGACAATGTACCACGAACGTCTATTATATTATTAATATTATTATTATTATTATTATTATTATTATTACCATTATTATTATTATTAATATTAATGTTACTTCTATCATCATCATCATCATCATCATCATCATCATCATCATCATCATCATCACTACTATTATTACTTCTACATCTACCGCAGCCATTTCCACCACCACCACCTTTATAATCACAATCACTTTTTATCATCCCCTCCACCACCACAAACTTTATCAAAATCTTCATCATCATCATCATCATCAACATCATCATCATCATCATCATCATTATCATCATCATCATCATCATCATCATCATCACCACCATCATCATCACAAACACTATCATCACAATCACCTCTACTATCACAGTCATTATCACCATCCTCATCACAATCACCATCACTATCACCTCTACCATCACAATCATTATCACCATCCTCATCACAATCACCATCACAACCATCTTCATCACAATCATCACCATCATCACAATCACCGTCATCATCACAATCACCACCACCACCACCACCGCCAGTATTATCATTACCAATACATCATCATTATCATCACCACCACCATCATTATCATTATCACTGTCATCATCATAATCTCATCACACCACCACCACCACCACCATCATCATCACAGTCACCATCACCATTGATCACCATTACATTGTACCATTACTATTACTGTACCACTACTACTGTTTTAGAAGCCTTGAAGCACAGGGGTAATTACAATATTCCAACTGCAGTGTTGTACTGCATGTACCCCCCACCCCACCCACACACACACACACACCCAGGAGTATAAATAGATTTTTTTAAAATTAAATAATGGAGAACATTTTAAAAATCGCTTGAAGTATAATATATCTTGCTTTAAACGTCTTGTAAAATTTGTAAAATATAAATGTTTCATTTATCTATAATTTATAGTTGACAAACATTCGTGTTTTTTTTTTTTGTTTTTTTTTTTGTTTTTTTGTTTTTTCTTTTTTTGTCTTTCAAAGGGTGTGAACGAGGCTGGAACTTCTATGAGAAGAACTGTTATCTGCTCACCAATATAAAGACGAATTGGACAAATAATAAAATATTCTGTGAAGAACGAAACGCAAGCCTTACGTCGATTCACAATGACTCGGAAAACAAGTTCGTAGCTAAACTCTGCAGCAAGTCTAATAATAATAGATATTGCTATATTGGCTTACGCAAAGCAAACCAGGTCAATATTTATTCTTCTTTTCAATAATCATGATGAAGTTGTGTATTGTTCGTGATACAACATTATTGTCTTTATAAATTAATAACATACTGTATAAATGCCTCATCTGTATTTAGAAATAAATTATTACTAAGATTGTGTATCCATTGTACACATATATAATTATTTACTTATAAATATTCAACCCTTTGAATAATATCACAGAGTGAGAGACTGGTATTATATGTTTACTATATTGACTATGGATTCGTGAGGTTTGCAGTCTTTCTACACAGGTGTGGAACATATAGCAGGATTATGTTAACTGTATCATATACGGTAAATTTTCATGAAATGTTTTACTTTTGCAGTCGGCCAACTTCTCCTGGATCGACGGTTCAAACTCGACATACATATGGCCTCCTTGGAAAAAACACAACAAAAATATTTCGGAAGATAAGGACTACGGTAAGATGTTCAATTAGAAAAAAAAAGTCATTTATGATGATGATGACAATGATGATGATGATGATGATGATGATAATGATGATGATGATGATGATGATGATAATGATAAATACAGTAATGATAATGATGATGATAATTGATGACGATGATTATAAGGATGGTGTCATAAGATAATGACGACGACCATCATAAAGACAATGATAAATAATAATAATAATAATAATAACCATCATAAAGACAATGATAAATAATAATAATAATAATAATAATAATAATAATAATAATAATAATGGAATGTTCTGTAAACGCACTGTATCAGCCAATAATACAGGTCTACCTCCAATTAACGACCAATTATGGGACCTGAGTTTTCATAACTTTAAGCAACTTTGGTCTCTAATTAGAATATAAAAAATAAATACTTAGTTAATTTGGGACCACAAAAAAAGTGGTCTTAATTTGGAGGTGGTGTTCAATTGGGGTCTTTAATTAGAGGGAGACTGGTGTCTTGTTGTCGTATGTGGGTCTATTGCTTATAATTTTGTCAATTGAGCTGGAGGTGAATTTAAGTCGATTCAAATGTTTTTTGTTCTCATAGAAATATATAAATTTGTCGTTCGTACACACTGGATAAATTCTTACACGAAAAAACATTAAACATAAGAAAATTAAATTAATTAATGTACTGTTGGTAACCCAGCAACGTCTGCGGGATATGAGGTATTGCCACCCGCAGTAACCTGCATAATAATCATCAAATTCATCTACTGTTGATTAACTCCAAGTCTGGAAAGAATGACGTCAATATGGATAAGTATAATCACAAATAGGCCTATATATTTCTTTTCTAGTTGTATCAATTGATGCAAATACAACTAATTGGCTGAGAAATAAACAACACCGGCCGAAGAATAGCTCCTACGAAAATAGAAACGCCGTGTGCAAACAAGCAGCAAGTAAGAAATATTTATTCTAACAATATTTACATTAAATATCTAACTACATATACCGTAATAGGCCCACATAACACAGAATCCCGAACAACATTTAACAAGTCAGCCATAAAAAAGCAAACAATATTCCAAATTAAGGCCAACCAATCTTAACCGAGACCCTTATGCATACAACCAGGACAAAAAAAGTGTTTGTGGCGAATATAAGTGCATTATAGTTTCAGTGATTCGCTTTAAAGAAACCTCTTGTTGTGTTTGTTGACTGATAGAATTTGTTGGTTATAGAATTTGTTTGTTTGTTTGTTTGTTGTTTTATTTGTTTTATTTTTTTATTTTTTTTAAATATTTTTTTTTGAAATGCAAAACGATTTTAATGCAGTCCATTCCAGAAGAAAGGGAGACATTCCCAATGCATTAATATAAAAATAACACATTCTCTGCGATGGATTCTGCTTCACATAGGCCTACAACCTATAAAGTATTAAGATCATAATCCTTGCGGCAAGTGCCATCTTGAAGGATCATTAGTCTCAGGAAGATCAGGATCCATCGGAAGCTTAATGACAATAGCAGTGGCTCCAGACATATGCCAACAGGGATTCGACATGTCCGACAGTGGGGGGGGGGGTTGTCCGAACAAAGTGGCCGTCCAGAGCTTCTGTCTGGGTCCCAGAATAAAAATGGTATGCTTAGTATAGCCCAAATTTTTCTTTTAGACCACAATATTCGGGATTGGACAAAATAATGTCAATAGAATGGGCAAATTATGATTTTCGTCGTGGCGTCGTTGGACGACAGGGGTCCAGGCCTATCCGTCAAGGGGTACCCCTCCCCATCCCCCCCCCCGCTACCACTGTTGCTGAGATCAGTATCCAATAAGCTTTGATAGATGATGAGGATCCACTGGAGGCTATGACATTAGCAAACAATGAGATTACCCTGTCTCTCACACTAATACAATTAGCAGCGTATTAGGAGATCGACAAAGATGTTATCTTTAATAACATGTCAATAACATGTCCAATAAAAGAAATGATATTACATCAATAATGATAATATTATGGTAATATGTAATGATAATAACCAATAATATTAATACTAGGACAATAATAAATGCCATTAATGTTAACCCAAAAAATAAAGGTTAAACACCCTTATTACTACACTTGAAGCAAATGAAATTATTTGATCATAATATTATTATTTGTTTAGATAATAAGTTGTTGTATTTTGGATAAATATTGTAGTATTGTAGCCTACTTTAATAACATATGATAATAATTACATTGTTACTTTAAGTTTCACCCTATTGTTATCACAACTTAATAATAATATTCAGAATTGTAATGATCACGTTGTCATTAATTATTAACTGTGTAAGTATATTCCTGTTTTAGATTGAATAATGTAGAGTGATAGCATAATTATCTGTATCGCACAAGATAATGTTTTCGTTTGAAGATCGACGTGATGTTCAATTCATTTGTTAGTATAATGTACGTATAGTTAAATAGATTATTTATGAAATTCACCATCGGCTACAAATAGAAGGTTTAATGTATTTATTTATAATAATATTATATGTTGATTGATGATTACAATATGCTAATAGCGTATACATGGCACGCTTGTATCAATTAAATCACACGACGTCTGTCGTACCATTAGCTACATTAAAAAGTAATGTATAAAGTATCAGTTTGAATAATAAATACCGATAACAGATATTCTATACTATTTTAAGAACAATCTAGATAGGGAAATTTGTGAACAGAAAATAATTAAGCAACTTGACTGTGTTATTTGGTTTAAACAAGACTATGGCTTTCTTGCCCACTACAGGGAATGATTTCATAAGAAAGTATAATACATACTCCAAGTATTGAAATACACGCCATCGTGTTGGGATTCAATATTTCGACATTAATTATGTCATCATCAGGAATGTCGAAATTCCTGATGATGACATAATTAATGTCGAAATATTGAATCCTAACACGATGGCGTGTATTTCAATACTTGGAGTATGTATTATACTTTCTTATCTGAGATTAATCAGTGGACCTTTCGGAATGATTTCATTGTTATGTTAAAACCTCCATTGTTATTATTACTTGCCTTTTGTTTTAGACCTTTTATATTCGATAGCATGTTGCTCCTCTTATCATTCACCTGAAGAAGTGTACTGTGTACACGAAAGCTTGTGACAATACATTTTTCAACTAGTCTATAAAGTGCTACCATTTTCTTATCGTTTGGTTACTGTTAAGATTAGTACGGCTCACCATATCATTCTATAATATGTAAACCTAAATTGGCATAAAGTCACACTCCGGAAGAAAAAAAAATGATTAAGTTTTAGAAAAACAAATTTTTCTACGACACAAAATACTTTTAGAGAAACTCGGGAGCGGTTAATGAGATAAAGATTTTTAAACATTTAAAAACGGGAAGGGGGAGAGGAAGGTGGAAAAGTGGTGGTTTCGAACCTTTTAACACAGTTTTTTAAAATTCTTTAACTTAGAAAATGATTCTTGAGTTTTCTCCCGTCCAGTTGGCCCAACTGCTGGCACCACTCCTGCATGTGGCTCCTGAGATACAGATTTTTGAATATTTAAGGGGCGTAATCACCCTTTTTTCCACCTTTTCCTCCAGTTTTTAAAAATTCAAAATCTGTATCTCATTAACCGCTCCCGAGTTTTTCGAGAAATACGTATTTTGTATCTTGAAAAAATCAGTTGTAGGCCTACAGCACATCAAAAACAAATTTCTCCTGAGCCAGGCCAGAGGTATACATCAGAAATTGTTTGTTGTTGAATTCGGCACCAGTATATTTCATAATGTGAAAATAATTATAAATATATTCGATCCTTGTTGATATTCAGCTGAGGAAACTTGATTCAGTCCTTTGGTCCGCCTACGTTGTGGTCTGTACACCGAGAGAATTCCCTCTATTCGAATTGTGGACTGAGTAATTATGCGCATGTGTTATTATGCACACGGGACCAACGGCTTATCTTTATTTAGAGTCGCATGGCAAAGCAGGCGCAGATCCAGTTGGAGGCAACGTGCCCCCCCCCCCACCTCCCTGTTTTGCCATTAAATGTTTAAAATTTCAATGCATATCATCAATGTTATGTTTATTCACTCATCTATTCTGAAACTGTTATGACCCCCGTTTGAAAAATTCTGGATTCACCACTGGCAAGGTCTCACTAAGCTTCTTGGTGCTGATGAGGTGAAGTCCACGGGGAACGGAGGAGATTGAACATTACATAATTGATTCTGTATCCAATAACCAGGGGGTGAAAAGCAATTTGTATTTATACATAATTCATGTTTATACTAAATATTGCATTGGTCATGATTGTTATTCATTCAAAGAAAGGAATTGGAGGTAATATCTTATTCCTTAGAAATGATGCAAACAAATGCACCATGAACGCGTTATGTGTTATAGCCAAGAAGGACGGAGTTTAAGTCCGGCAATTACAAAAAATGCGTTATTGAAATTATAACAATTATTATAGCTATTTTCTTCCTTTGAAAATTGAATTTCACAAAAGAAATAAAATATCAATAATTTAAGGCAAGATAACCTCGGATATCGTGTGCTAAATAAAAGTAGGCCTACTCTTTACAAGATCGTTTGATCATGGGGAGGCTAAACTTACTCCTTCGTGGCTGATCTTCAATTCTTTCCTTATTAAACTACAAAACTAGAAAACTCCTGGAAAAGGAAGTTATTTCAAATTATCAATAGATACTTTTATGATCTCTTTTTTTGTTTTGTTTGTTTATTGTTTTGTTTTGTTTTTGTATCCGTTAAAGGGACAGCTGAGACAAGCCTGCTTCTAAACTGGTCCCCCACCATTGTATTCCGTTTTTGTTGTCATTGGTGAAATAAATGTCACGTTGATTGAATGATTAATTGATTGATAGCCTATTATTTCATAGCACTTTTTCAATAGTTTTGAGACAGAACACACTAAAGACACACTGTAAGACTTTGTAAGATATAATTTTGGTATAATATGCGTGTAGTTCATTTCGATTTATGAAATTCATTTTCGGTTGAAATCAGTGGTGTACGTACCCAGTGGACACGCCCCCTGAAAACCACCTCCCCCAACCACATTGAAAATTATCCACGCCCCCCCCCCCCACCACCCACCCAAACCACATTGAAAATGTTCGAAGCAAGCAAATCACGCATTTCTAGAAGGGATCCAAGATAATGATGATTCTGTCTATTTTTTTTTTCTCATCACTGTTCTTACCAATATTGTTTATGTTACCATTCATTATTATCTGAATTATATCTGAATAAATGAATAAACTTGTTTTGTGTGCTGGCTCTCTCTATCGATTTCAAGATTCTTAGATACGTACTGCTGCAATTGAAGGTTTGATTTATGTATTTTCTGAGTTATTATTTTGACAGTAATGATTACAATAACGTTAAATAAGAAATACAAATGTATACATATGTCGGGCTTAGTATCAAATTAAGTCGCACGACGTCAACACATCAACATGTTAATACAGCTCATTTACGTACTCTGCACACAAACACACACACAAATTGTCTTTAGAATTTACGCCCGTTTCGATTAAATTTGAGTTAATATAAATAACTGCATGACATGGATAGGCCTATGTAAATGAATAAAGACAATTTAAAGTTATTAAAGATATTTCCTTTTTCTAAAATTATATAGATGTGTATAAGAGACAGTATATGCATACCGTATGTAATCAAACTCTGATCGTAGGGCTCTTTTATTTATTTTTGGTTTTTCTGGTCTTTTTTTTCTCATATTGTCGCTTCTTTTCGAACATTTCCCCATATTGACACATAGAGACATTGTATAATACGGTACGCCTTATAAAGCCGGGTACTCACTCCGTCGTATGACGGTCGTACGACGAATCCAACTCCGCTCCCTGTGGCCGCTAGACGGGGCGACGCTGTCTGCTGATTGTCGGTGGCAGTCTCAATCGTCATTAAAACGATCCATTGCGCGTGTGTCATGGTGTTGCGTTCTCCATAGAATCGCGGCGGCCACCGCCGTCAGACGCGCAGTGAATGCCCGGCTTCAGTTTGGATTTGATTGAACTATTGTTATTCACTCTCATTCTAAAGAACATAAACGAATAAAGCCTTCATATCATATTTTATAGTTGACGACACAACCGATACTTCAACAACAATCATTTATGAATATGTAACAACAACGGATGCAGAAAAACTCATTACAACGGCAAAATCAACCACGGGTGCAGAAATCACTAAGACGGTAAAATCATCCACCGATACTTCAACAACAATCATTTATGAATATGTAACGACAACAACGGGTGCAGAAAAACTCATTACAACGGAAAAATCAACCACGGGTGCAGAAATCACTACAACGGTAAAATCAATCATTAAAATCTATTTTGAAGTATGAAATATGAAAAAAAAATGTTAACTATTATATATTGTTAACATACTATATATATCACTTACTAACTTATGAAGTATTATATAATTACACACCGTGGTACTGGCTGATAATCATGGAGGTAGTGGAGTCGAATCCCATCAGAATTATTTACGAATAATTTACACTGAAGTTAAACATACGGGATATACATTAAAACGTCAGATTTACTCTAATACAATCTCAGGAGGTTATTGATACTTTATTAAATTCTCGTATTTTTTATAATTACTGATTAAATTACCAAATCATATTGATTTAATTATTATGCGATTTTTTTTTTAATTTGAAATAGAAAACGAAGACTGCACCAGACAATTTTCAACGGTATACACTCGATGATCTTCTAAATACAGGAAGGAAAGGAAAACCAAAGCTGGTATATATGTATTATAAAACCACGCGGTACACAAGCGTAGCATTCTGAATAGTCACCGAGCTTATTAGAAAAATCGTTTTATTTTATTTATGTATTTATTTATTTTATTAGACATTTCTCGGGCGAACAAACAACAAAATAAATAAATAAATAAAATGCATACAGACACGTTAAAGTAAAAAGAAAGTCTCTAAAACACAACAATTCACTAAGCCAAGCACATGCCTGGCGGATCGCCTGAACAAAAAGCCAAAGCTTATCGAGAGGCTCTCCAAATGTGCTTTGCAAACAACAGCAACAACGTATAAAAGCCAACTCAGACAGCGTCGTACGACGCAGCCCGACGCGATTTGTTGTCGCGTCGGGTCTGTGTGACAACGCAGACGCGATGGTTTGCGTCGGGGGCAGTCGCGTCGTAGAATATTAAACATGTTTAATATTTCTCACGACGGCTTAAGACTGTCCCTGACGATAAAGCGGGTCAGGCTGCATCGGCCGACGCTGTCTGAGTTGGCCTTTAGAATTGGGAACAAAATTAAAACACTTCAACAGAAGTATTTAAAACATGTTTCAATTTCTCCTTAAAACAAAGACCGCCACCAAGGAGGTTATGTATTCACCGATGTCACTGTCTGGGTGTCTTTCCAGTTTGTTTTTATATCTCAGTATCTTTGTTGAGAATTGATAATAAAATACGCGACGACTTGGTAACGAAAGTTTGGAACAAGTTTTTTTAGATCCAGCTGTAGGGGGCGTCCCATTTTTCGTATTCCCACCATGCATTTCGGTGGAACACGGTGGAACACTTTTTTTGTGTGGAGAACTCTATCTTGTATTTCTAGTATGGCGTCGGGTCTGTGTGACAACGCAGACGCGATGGTTTGCGTCGGGGGGCAGTCGCGTCGTAGAATATTAAACATGTTTAATATTTCTCACGACGGCTTAAGACTGTCCCTGACAATAAAGCGGGTCAGGCTGCATCGGCCGACGCTGTCTGAGTTGGCCTTTAGAATTGGGAACAAAATTAAAACACTTCAACAGAAGTATTTAAAACATGTTTCAATTTCTCCTTAAAACAAAAAAGACCATTAATAATCATTCCTGATTTCAGTGAGCAGATCACTACAGAGACGACAAAATCTAACAAATAAAAAAATCCGTTCAATATGATTGAAAGTAAGACATTCTAACCTCTACTAACAAAATGTACCGTTATTAATATATAAAAAAAAGGAACGTCGGATGAAACCTAAAGACACCTAGAAACGAACATAAGAAACAAGCACATCCGTGAATATAATGACTTAAGGTTGGACAATCTAACAGAATATGATGGAAGGGTCCGCCATGAACTATTCTTGTAAATTTGTGCTGAATTCGTTCTATTAGTCGGAATTGAGCCACTTATTGAACCACAATGAACAATTACAATCAATGATGTTCTTTCTGCCCTCTGCCCTACATTTTTTCAATGACGTGGCATAAAAATCAAAATATTTTACATTTGATTAATTTACACACAGACACACACACGTAACACACG